TATGAGGGGAAGAGGGCCTCCAGGAGCTAAGGCACGCTCCATTAGTATAAGCTTAGTCTATCCTCTCTGTCCTTCTTGGATCTGCCCTTCAAACCCCTGGATCTGCTCCAACAACCCAGACCTTGCATTTGGCAGGGGTTGTGGGAGCCCCCCAAACACTTACAGGGAAAAGACCTGTGGCAAGTCTTATGGGTCTTAAGCCCTGAGATCTTGGGCACAACAATTATGCTCCAACACAAAAAATTGGAGAAGAGGAAAGAGCCTCCCCTTGACCAACACAATATAAAGTGAAATAAAGGTATAATGAAATTAATTAAAAGAACAAAACTACTAAAACAAATAAGTAAAACAACAATTCACAAGTTAAGGTGACAAGCTGAATACAGCAGACAGTAGAACTCTCCATCTCATGCTGCAGGCAGTTGAGAACAGAGTGGTGGTGGGTTCGTGCCTTCCTATATTCCCTTGTTCAGAGCACAAGGCACTGCTTTGTGCAGGAGCAGGCCTGCGAATACTACTTTGCAGTCTCTGTCTAAGAGCACATGAGTGTATGGATATCATATGTTGGGGGCACCCATAGGGTTCTATACTTGAAGAAGAAGGTATGTTATACACAGCTCCACCTAGAGGCTGAACAGTATGGTACAGTTTATTATTTCACTATGTCTATCCCTTTAAGTTCTACATTCCTACCATTTATAAAATTTACACTATCACGCTATCTTTGAAGTTCAGTATGGATCAGCCTGTAAGTCTCTAAATCATACTGGTTATCTAGTTACACGACCCAAACACATCACAGCTTGATCATCCGGCTGTCCATTAGTTGCATGGACTGGCTGCTGTTGGTATGGAATCTTTGAGTTGTCTTCTTCTTGTTCCACATCCACCATCTATAGAGTTTGCTCTGTTGATAGTTCTTTTTGAGGGACACATATAGATGCTGAAGGTTTCTATTGAACTCTCCAAGTCTGTTGGTCTCAATAGCATATGATATTGGTGATGAATTCTTTCTCTTTACTACAGTTGGAGTTGTCTATCCTTTTTCTCCATCCAATTTGACATAAACAGTCACCAGATTCTGGACCCAGCAGTTCTCAAACTGAGTGAGGCCTGTTGTAAAAGTATTCATAAGTTCTTTGACCTTTTTATCCTATCTGGCTTCTCTCTTCATGTCTGGCCACTTTGGAGGCAGGCTCTTTTCCAAAATTAGAACAGTAATTCTGAGTTATCTTCCTATCAGGAGTTGTGCTGGACCATACCCAGTAGCTGCTACTGGTGTTGATCTGTAACTCAAAAGAGCAAGGAATGGATCTTCCTGCCATAGGATTTTCTTGGATGTCTGTACACTCTCTAAGCCTCTCCATTCACTTGTGGGTAATGTGGGTTGCTAGTAATATATTCAAAATCATATTTCATTTGGAATGACTTAAATCCTGCTGCAGTGAATTGTGGACTGTTTTCCATCACTAGCTGTTCAGTAATAACAAAATGAGCAAAAGTGCACTTCAGTTTTTCAATATGTTCTTCAACATGCCATGTCTTTCAAGTACATTACTTCTATATACCTGGAAAGATAATCCACTATGACCAAGTAAGGATGTCTTCTGAATTCACATAAATCTGCAGCTAATCTCTCCCAAGGTCTGTCTGGTAGAGGTGTTGTATTTAAAGGTTCTTTTTGTTGTGTTGGTCTGTTAGTTCTGCAGTGTTCACATGCAAATGCCTTATTCTTTATGTCCTTGCTGATGTCCAGCCATCACACTAACTGGTTGGTCCAGCATGGAATTTAGTTAATCCTTGATGTCCTTCATGGATGAGGGTTAGGATTTCTCTTCTCATTTCATTTGGAATTACAATTCAGTCACTTTTAATCACGAGACCATTTAATTGTCCACATACTACAAAGTAGTCTCTTGACACTTCCTTAATATCCCTGACCTGACCTGAAGAAGAGCTCTGTGTAAGCTCAAAAGCTTGTCTCTCTTACCAACAGAAATTGGTCCAATGAAAAGATATTATCTCACCCACTTCATCTCCTTAGTGTCCCTTAAACACTTGGACCAGCCAGCTCTGATGTAATTTAGAACTTCTTGAAGTTGTGTGTCAGTCAAGCAGGTGTACTTTTCTGACACAGGTCTGTATGAGTCCACAGCATCCACATCCTTTACATCATTTTTGAGCTCATGAGTAATTGAGTACAATACTGGGCTGCATGAGAGAGTGTCTGCTACTACCAGATTTCTCCCAGAAACATATTTAGCTATTGTGTTAAACTGAATTGACCTTATCAATATATGGTGGTATCTCAACAGCACCTAATCCAGTTCTTTTCTGCTTCCAGCGCTTACGCCATGAAACTGCTGTTTCACGCAGCAAGCGGTGGGATGGGAGGGGGAGGAGGAGGAATGTGATGAGCTCGTGGAAGAGGCAGGGCCAGGACGAGGATTTGGGGAGAGGTCCAATAGGGGCGGGGAGGGGGCGGAGTCGGGGGCGAGCACTCACCGGCGCCAAGGAAAGTTGGCGCCTGTGCTAAACACCAGAGACGTAATAGGAACATGATGAAGAATGGCTGAGGTTAGCTTAAATAAGGTATGTTACACACAGCACCACCCAGTAGCTAAACAGTATAATACATTTTAGCATTTCATTACAGCCCTAAACCCTCCCAGTCCAAGAATACCAACCAGGAGACCCTATCAAAATCAAACTTTCCTCAGGATATGGTTGAGGGGAACTGTGACAAATTCAGATCTGGTTTAGTTCTAGCTACATTCTGGATGCATTTCAAAATCTGATCTCTATCATTCTGAGAAAAACTGAGCTCCTTTACAATGTATCCTTCCCAAGGAGGAAAGAAAACTGTTTGAAGCAGCCTATTCACTAGTTTCCTAAGGACATCCACAGCTGCTGCAGGCATTACTCAGCACCACATACATTTTGGCAAGAGTTTGATCTTAATAGGGTCTGTGATGTGACATGTTTCACATATGTTTTTTAGGAAGCATTCTCTCAATATTTTCCATATTGAAGTTTCTGTTCGCTTATTGATGGAATAACCCCTATAAATCCTCAGCACCTTGATAGTATGACAGATGATTAAATTTGCATATTTTCATGTTTAGGTATCCTGTTCATCTCTAAGTTGTCATTTTCAAGGGGAGCCTCAACAACTCCAGCATTCACACATTTAAAAACTCACTGTAAACAACTGCAACCCAGCAGTTCTAAATTAAGTTAAAAGGCATGTGCCAAGGCAGTTTTCTTAATCTTGAAAATGTTTTTCCTCTTTGTTTTCTGTAATAAACTCTTGAGAAACCTGCTTCCTTACTAAAACTTTATTCCCTCCACAGTGCGTAGGCTAGTTTGTTATTGTATGTTCTCAGGCATTGATCTTTCTTGGTGATTTAGGGAAAAAGAGAGCTAAAACAGAAACTTGGAGAAAAGAGATGAAAAATATTTTTAAAAATTCCTTTTAAGAGAAAGAAATATAGATCAAATTTTGGGTCATGTAACTCTAACAAAGTTCCTTTAACTTTTTTTCTTAATGCTGAAATTTGATCTAATAATCAACAACTGGGACAGGTGTCACAACATTGTTTTTAACTAGCATTTTAGAATCCTCCCCTCTCTTGCTTACCACCGTTTTCAGCCTTGTCACTCAAAATGTTTCAGCGTGCCAAACAGTAAATCCTCTTGGGCAAACTCAACTTTTGAGTCCAAGATAACCCAGATTCAAGATGTAATTCAGATATCAAAAAAATGAATAATTTGGATTGGAGAGTTTCACTAATGAGGTAATAACTGGCAGGCATGTTGCTAACAACTATTAAGAAGACTGGATGGATGGATATTTGAAAAGTCATGTGGACACAGCAGAAAATGCCACACTGAGAGGGCAGAATGGTTTACTAGGATAGGGCATTGGACTAGAAATCAGGAGAGCTGGGTTCTGTTTCTAGCACAGCCACTGATGTGCTGTTTGATTTTGGGCAAGTCACTGCACCCATAGGTGCTCAAACTGGAGAAGCGGGGGCAGCTGCTACTGCATCCTCTGGCTTGAAGTAGTTTCCATTATATACAGGGTTTACAGTTTGGTTCAATGGCTCTAAGCACTGACACTATAAAAATTGTTACAGCACCCTTGACTGCACCTTTGTTTCCCCTCTAACTTTTGGTCTGTCTATTTGAGCAGGGTGTTTTTGATTATCTATGTGTAGAGTGCTTGACACAATGGAGCCTTGATCTCACCTGGAGCCCACAGGCACTATTGTAATACAAAGTAATCATAACTATAATGGAAAATAAGCAAAAAAATTGTAATCTGTGATCGGGAGGATAAAAGACAGGTGAGACTGTAAGTTCAGAAAACAGTTTCTTGAGGTAGGATCATTCCATCTACTTCTCAAGTGGATCCTGACCAAGGTGATCTTGGCTGAGAGGTGTTTAAAGGGGTCTGTGCCATCTCCAGGCAACCCTCCTCCCTTTCCCCACCACATGTGGGTGCACTGTGAAAAATCAGGTTCTGGATGAGCAGATAGGACTGAATCATGGCTGGGAAGGGGCTCATGCACATACAGAATGTCAAAGGGTTGCAGAGGTATAAGGAAATCAAACAGAAGGAAAGAGACAAGTAGTAACTGTTTGGAAACCACTGGTTACTAATAGATCCCCCAAAACCTGTGGGACTCAGGCAACTTTTCCCATGAGAGGCAAACTCCAATAGAAGATGAACTTCCATAAATTGAAATTCACAGATAACCATTGACTAGAACCCTTAATTTTTTACATAAACTTAATATTCTGCATACATAATTGAAACCCATAAAGAGACCCAAAACACAAGATTTCCATGGCATATATTTCCACTAGTTCTAGAAATGACCATGTAATTGTAATTTTTTGAGTGCACTTACTCTTATAACCTTTGTAACAAACTATGGGAGATAAAAAGCTATAGATTAATAAGGGATAGAAGAATAGAGGAAGAGTACACTTACATGATCAGCTTCTGTTTTGAATTTACATTCCACTTCTTTCATATTTTTCAAACTCAGTGTCTTTGCTCTGTAATCAATACATGGAGAAAAGTTGTGAAGCAGATCATCCATACAGTAAACTTGAATATGGATAGGTAGAGATACAGGTCTAAAATATAACAGAGGGATGCAGTGTTCTAACAACAGAATTGCTATATATATATTTTTGCATGTTTAAAGTACATTTCATATTGTAATCATTCTATAAAAATCAGGACAGGCAGTTACTGGGAAAAATATCCTTCAAGTGTACAAATGCTAGACAGCTAGGTAGGTTTAGGTTGGTTCTGTAGCCTCTTTAAATTCTGAAAAGTTGTTATAACCCAATATAACTTCAAAATTTCTGTAGCTTTATTTTTCAATTTAAAGTATGAAAAATGGGACTTTTTTGTAAAGTAATATTAATCTTCACTTATGTAAATGTTACTCCTGTTATGCCTCTGAAACTATATTAATAAGCACTGACTTCATGGGTGGTCTGGGGCTGGAGCAACCAAAGAAAAACACTGTGGGTGCTTAGCATCCACTGGTGGGGCCCTCCTCCCTCCCCCCCAGCACCTCCTGCCAGCAGCGGGCCCCGCCCAATCAGCACGTCCCCTCCCCCACAGTGCCTCCCACCTCTTGCAGATCAGCTGTTCAGACACTGCTGTGCAGCGTGGCAGGCTTGCAGCTGCCTGAGAGGGCCTGGCTGAGGAGGTGGCTTCCACACACTGCCCGGCTTCAGGTGCCTGGGGGTGAGCGAGCCACAGACTCCCTCCCCGCAGCACGTTTCTGGCTCACTCAGCCGTGGTCCCCGGCAGCTGAGGCTGGGCAGGGAGCAGCTATCTCCCCCACCAGGCTCTCTCAGGTAGCTGCCGGGCCGCAGAGCAGCGACCAGCAGAGGCCAGCATTAGAAGCGGCTCCCTCCTGCTCCCCGCCTGGGCAGTCAGGTGCGGTGGGAGGACAGAGTGTTCCCCCTGCAGGTAATGTGGGGTGGGAGAGCGTGGTGGCCCCGGGGCGGGGTTGCCAGGTCGGGGGGACATGTGACCTGACCTCCCCTTTAGATTGTGCCCCCGCCAGTATGGGAGGCACCAGTCGTCCCTCAGGGCAGGGGGAAGAGGCGGGCTGGGAGTGTGGCTTTGAAGGCTGGGATGGAGTGGGGACAGGGCCTGGGACGGAGTGGGGGTGGAGCATGCCCTGCCAAATCACAAAGTTCGTGCCCGTGACTGTATTTATTATTTGTATCATTGTTCCACCCAAAGACCTCAATCAGAACTTGGGCTTTGTTGTGCTAGGTGCTATACAAACACAGAGTAAGAGACACCCCCTGACCTAAACGTGTAAGCTATGCCTACCCTATGAGCTAAGGGTTTGCTTCCCAGGCTCCTGTACACACACTCACACTAGTTCTCATTGAGTTACAGACAAATTTGTACTTGGTACGGCTCAGCTGTGCCTCTGCTGCTGCTCCCCACGCAACTGTAGGTATACTGTTATTTATAGTCATGCTAGGGATGTAAATATTGTTTTAAAAGTAAACCGTTAAAACAATTAAAATTATATCGTTTAACTGGTTAACCAATAAAAGGGAGAGGGGCTGAGGCTGCTCCAGCCAGTGGGCACAGGGCTGGGGCTGCTGCTGGGGTGGCCGGCTGGCACGGCCCGGGGCTGCTGCTGGGGTCAGCTGGCTGGCACGGCCCGGGGCTGCTCCTGGGGTCGGCCGGTGCAGCCCGAGGCTGCTGCTCCGGCTGGCCAGCTGGCGTAGCTGGGGCTGCTCCAGCCAGCCCAGGCTGAGCTGGGGGTTAACAGTTAGGCTGGGTTAACCAGTAAGACTAATGGTCACTGGTTAACTGCAGGGCCGGCTTTAGGAAGTGCACGGCCCAATTTGAACATTTTCGGCAGGGCTCCGGCAGGGATGACTAACAAAAACAAAAAAAACACCCCTGTAAAAAAAACCCTTT